ACGGAGCTCTTGATGTGACGGGCATGGGTGACATAGTGCTGAAGACCCCTGTCAGTTTCTGGACTTTGAAGGATGTCAGAGTGGTTCCAGCCTTGAAGAAAAGTTTGATTTCTGTTAGGCAGTTGGACGAACAGGGACACGAGGTGAAGTTCGGAAATGGGCAGTGGAAGGTCGTGAAGGGAAATCTTGTCATGGCCCGTGGAAGGAAGAGAGGTTCGTTGTATATGGTCGAGTTACCATCTGAGGGAGTGACCGTCCCAATTCAGAAGAAAAACGAAGTCCGGTTCACAGAGTCTCGTGGGCAGAAGAAGGTTTTCTATGCAAGAAAGAAACCCAGAGCCACAGGTCACACTCAGGATGAACGAGCGAGGAAAGGTTCAATGAGGCCAGTCAGAGGTATCTGTGGCTGTGGGAGCACAGGTTTTACTTCAGCCAAAATTCCTATAAGACATTGGGTCCGGAGAACCAGTATTCCAGCTGTTGAAACATCTCCAGAAAATTTCTTGCTCAGTATGGAGATTGTTTGTTCTCAGGATGTTCCAGGATCCGGCAGTGCGTGTGTGCAGTGGGAGCCGGTAGGGACCGAGGATGAGTCAGGGGTAGTTCAAGCCATGACTAATGGGTTGAAACTCAGGAGAGTTTGAACAGAGTCTTCTCGATGATCAAGAAGGCTGGTGGCAACTAGAGGTGGTGGAATTTTGAGTTCCGAAGTACATGTGCACAGTTGAAGCGCAGGTGAACATTGTTCCGTGGCTTCAAGTGGGAGATTGTTGAGTGTGAAGCCAGGAAGCTAGGTGGAAGCTAACAGGAAATTGGCAGGAAGCTACCTAGAAGCTTATGGCTTAATCATTGTCTCCCTAACTAATCTCTATTTAAGAGATGCTAATGTGCTTGTAATTGTGTGCAACAAAAATAATAAAATCCTCCTAGTTGCCCCGTGTGGACGTAGGTTGCAGTTGGCGGCCGAACCACGTTAAATCCTGTGTCATTTATTTTTCTGCAGTTGATTCGTGATTGTGTGTTGTTTCCGCGTGCGTTTATTCCCAACACTCTCAAATTGGCCCATGTGAATCTTTCTGAACAGGATATTATTTTGTGTGTTTTGCATGGTCTTCCTGCTAATTATGCCCTCTTGAAATAAAATATTCAGACCAATATTGGCAACATCACGTTTAATAAAGGTTCTTCTTGGTTACTCTTTGAAGAACTAAACATTACACTTGGCAAAAAATTACAGATTTGTGAATTTGCCCCTTCTCCCTCTTCAGATGTTCCCAATGCACTTTTTCCTAATTCTGGACGTGGTAATTATCATGGATGTGGGAGAGGCGGTTACCGTGGCAGGGGAGGTCCACCTCATGGTGGAGGCTACGGAGGAAGAGGAGGTCGTCCACCGTAGCGTGATGCCTGTGACAACAGTGGCAGAATCGTACAGCAAGGGAGTTCGGTCACGTGGCATCTTTATGGCAAACCTAGACATGCAGTATGAAATTGTTGGCACCGTTTTGATGAATCATAAGATGGTCCACCACAGTCTTATTACACATTACACAAGTCAATCTGCTGAACCAAGTAAGAGTTGAAATCTGGACACATCCCCAAATGCGCATGTGACTTTGGATTTTTCCAAGCTGCAAAACTCTTTTTTCATATCAAGGAACCAATTCTATCACCACTGCGAGAGGTAATACTTTTCAAATTGACCATACAGGCTCAAGTATTTTCTACCCACCCCTCACCAAACTTTTCAAGTGCCTAACCTACTACTTCATGCACCCAATATTAACTCTCATCTTCTCTCTATTTGTATACCAATTCACCAGCAAAGTGCGTTTCGAAGGCCCCTGTGAGCGTGGCTTGTACTCGCTTCCTTCCTCCAGTTCGTGAGTGGTGACCAATGCGATCAAAGTCATCCCTCATCAGTGACATTATTGTCTTGGTCATTCTTCCGCTCAAGTTACCAAGTTTTTACTTTCGAAATTAGGTTTTAGATTACAACATATGGAGTATATACTCGTCTTATCTTGTGTCTATGAGTTCTTTTCCACTATGTTTCTTTAAATAAAGTTTATTTAATGGTTTATCTTTATCTGATCACAATTCCTGGAATGCTATTATTTGATGAACGAATGAAACAAGGCTATTTGTGAAACATGGAAATGCGTGTAATTAGCATGACCTCTTCTAGGTCATATGGAGCAGTAAATTACTCCTAGGAAAAATGAGTGTAAATTCTTTCAAAAAATCAGTGTAAATAAGAATTCTTTTGTAACTAATGGTTTGTGTTGTATTATTATATAACAGGCCAAATTGTATACATGCATGGACTTTGGCTCAATCAAGGGTATGTCCTATTATGATTTGTTTTGGGAAGGCTTGGCGTCAACTGACACTATTTTTCGTGTTTAACTTATGATGATATATATAGTTGGCTTCTTAAGGGGTCGTAATATATAGCTGCACTGTTGCTGATTAATTGATCACAGTTACAAGAGTTTACATTTATTTTTATTCAATTCTATGCCAATAAACAACACTTTTTTTGATTTCAATGAAGGATATAAATTGCACATACATACATATTACAGTTCTCTATCCTGACTCAAGTATTTTGCATTTTGAAGCGAACACGACATTTCTTGGATAATTGAAGATCGATATCTATTCGGAACTACCTAGCTACCATCGTGCCACCATACAACTATTTAATTATAAACCTTTCCTATTTTGACTTTATTTGATAAAATAGTAACACTATTTGACCATATATTAGACATAATTTAAACATATACTCCCTCCGTCTCGAAAAACTTTTCCAGTTTTAACTTTTGGGAGGGAAAGATATACAAGTTTGACCAAGGCAGAGCGACGACAATTGAAACAAGTTGGGCTCGGGAAACATCAATTTTTTTCCAGTTTCTTCTAGTTTTTCTAGTTTCTTCTACTTTCTTTCAGATCTTCTAGTTCCTTCCTGTTTCTTCCAACTATTCTCGTTTTCTTCAAACTCTTTCTACTCGCCAACCAATTACTCTAAAAATGATATATTTTAATTTTGATTATTATAATTATAATTATTATTACAACTATCATGTTTATAACTATAGTTTACGGAGTATAAGTTATTTTTCTTTTTTTCATTTCACTATTTTTACAATTCACACTTGATCATTATTATTTTTTCTTCAACTTTTTAATATGATTAATACAATTGTTTTGTATACTAATCTACATGATAAAATAGGAAAACATCATTATTTTAAACTATATTAAAAAATTATGGATAAAATAGTTACATATAAATAAATATAGAGGGAAAATGAAAACAATCAGCAAAAAAATGTCGGGGAACAAAAAAGGAGCGGAGAAAAAAAGACCCCGCACCTTTCCCTTTTTTACTCAATTTTTTCTCATTTTTATTTATTTCAAAAAATATTCCTTTTTTCATTTTTCAAATTTTTTATAAAAAAATTTGATATTCAAAATAGTTTAGAGAAAAAGACTAAAATAGAAGTAAAATATAAAAAAATGTACAAAAATAAGAGTTTTATGTCTTTATTCCAAAAATAGGAGTTACAATGAAAACAAAATGTCAATCATGAATGAAAAATAGGTTTGATTACATTATGTGACATGTGTAATATTTAAAGCAAACTCTTGTAATATATAAAGTATAATTACAAATATATTATTCTATAATAAATACTGCATAAATAAATTAAGGTGCAACGTAACCACAATAACTTTTAAAAGTTTATTATTTTGATATTTATGCTAACTTTGTATTCTAATTATTTGTTTTACAAAAGAGATTTTTTTGTATGAAAAATAACAGTACTTTTTTATCTTAAAGGAATTTAATAAGATAAAGTGATAATAATAATAATAATCGTAATAATAATTTATAACAACACAAATTAGGATCAGAATAATATAAAAATACACAAATAGATTTTTTAAAAATTATTTTTAGATTTCCCATTTTTTCTAGTTTTTCCAGTTTAATCTAATTTTTCTAGTTTCTTCCAGTTTTTTCTAGTTTCTTCCACTTTCTTCCAACATCCAGCTCTTTTTTCCAGTTCTAAAGTCTACGGTTATTATGGTGTCTTATTAACTTAGTCATCTGGAGTAAGTCTTGAGTAGGGGTGTAAACGGATATTAATTGGATCGGATGTGTCATTACTAGATTCATATCTGTTTATTTTTATCGGCTATGGAATTCGGATACGGATCTTGACGGATATTAAAAACCAAAATTATATCTGCATCATTCGGATACCGGTAGGATATCAGATATATCTGTATCTGTTTCCAATTTTTAAAGTTAAATTAAATTTCCCATTAAATTAAAGTCAAAATATTATTCATTCAATTGTAATTTGTTACAGAGTAATTTTTTCTTATTTTTTATAATTTATAATATTCTACGATGTCAAAAAACCAACTCAACCAAAAGCTTGAGCTTGTGGTTGTGGTTCAGGAACAGTTATTTATATTCTAACAGGCCCCCACACGTGCAGGCGTAGTCTTTTTCGAGCCTTGCACGTGAAACCTTAATTTTTTTAAATTGGGTGGCGCTGAGTTTCGAACCCGTGACCTCTTAGTCCCAAAAGCTCAAGATTGTGGTTGTGGCCCAGGATGAGTTATATATATTCTAACATGCCCCCTCACGTCTAGGCGTAGTCTTTTTCGAGCCTTGCACGTGAAACTTTAATTTTCTTAAAACTAGGTGGCGCTGAGTTTCGAACCCGTGACCTCTTAGTCAACAAGGCTTTGATACCATGTCAAAGAACCAACTCAACCAAAAGCTCAAGCTTGTGGTTGTGGTCATGAACATTTATTTATATTCTAACATACGACAACTCCATATGGTAAAAAGATATACACAATACACATACACACATATTTTTATATGTCTACACATATATTTTGCATATAAAAATGTCTTATACTTTGAGATGTCAATAGAAAAACAAATAATAAAAAATTAGGAAAACTTATATATAACGGATCAGATATACTAATGGATAAAGGGTTATTTAAACGGATGTCTACGCGGAGCGGGTTATAAACGGATTGAATGTATGATTACAAAATTCGTATCCCTTTACCAATCGGATACGGATAATAATCGCTTTTAACGGATGCAGATATTTTCCATTTAAATGGATACGGATGTGGATGACAATCGAATTTTTGTTTATCCATTTACAGCCCTAGTCTTGAATTTTGAGTCAAGTCAATGGCTTTAAGTATAGGAGTACATCCGTGGCCGATCCTAAATGAAAAGTAATTAAGGGCACCTTTACATAAACTAAGGTCATGTTCTCTTCACCTGATCTGAAGAGTTCTGATATGATTGAAATAAGTTCTTATTTGATCTGATCTCGTCTAATCTGATCTGAACGTTGTTATATTTAAGTTGTTTCTCATCTTATCTTATCCGGTCTGATCTAATTCCAATAGGAAAAAATAATAAGTAATAGGAATAAATTGAAGAAAATATGACCTAAACAACATAAAATATTTCGTTTCAAACATGCTTTTATATAATTAATTAAAATGAAGGTCATAAAATAGAAACAACCTCTGTATAATATACAGAGTATATCATTATTTAGTTGAATTATCGTCATAGTATTAATTTATGGGACACTCGACACATATTTTTTACCTTAAACTGAACTGAATCGAACTCTAACCTGCTGTTTGATTTTTGGTTTGGCTAAAAATCAAACTGAATAAATTGAACTGAACTAGTGTGTTGTTACAACTTTTTTTAGTTGCATCATCGAGTTAGTGTGTTGTTACAAATTTTTTTAATGCTTATAAATTTTAATTTTAAAAACCAAAAAAATCGAAATAAAAACCACATAAAACCAAACCGAATAACAAATGATTTATACTACCTCTATCCGGTAAAAGTTTTCAACTTTCAAATCTTACTTGTCCCATAAAACATTTAAATTTGGGCTAAATGGAGACAATTTCACTTACTTTTCTTAAATCTAGCAGAACCTACATCAACTAACTTTTACGTCCTACCCATTTTGATATTTCCCGAGTCCTACTCGCCTCAACTGTCGTCGTTTCACCTTGGTCAAACTTCTACAGTTCCCCTTCCCAACAGTCAAAATAAGAAATGTTTTGCGGGACGGAGGAAATATACTTTTGGTGTAAAAATGAATCGGACAAAATTGCAAACTTACCTTCCATTTTATCTTTGGTTTTGGGTGAAAACCTAACCCACTCCGAATCCAACATTTTGCTACCATAACGATTTTCTTCTATTTTGGTGTCATAGATAGCCGGAGACATACAACCATAGTCATCATCCATGTTTTCATCATCATTTGGAAATATATCAATCTCAGTTTCCAATTCATCATCTATAAATCCTGTATTTAAACCACCCTGTTGCCATAGAAATTTTGACATTTGTTGTCTCGACATTTAATGTACTTGCAGGTTCATTTGTACCACTTCTCATACGTAAGTCATGTCTCTCAAGATTCTTTGAAGCATCTGTTGCCTCATCAACATAACTCCACAAAATATCATCTCCCGAATAAACAACTTATTCATTGACATCAACTCGTTCATTATTCCATTGATACTCTTCTAAAATCAAAGTGTTAACTCCTTGTTCTCGATGCCTTTTGAAGCAATTGACAATCTTACGATTATATTTCACATAGACCAAATCATTCAATCTTTGATGCTCACGTTGATTTCTTTTCTTTGTGTGAAAGTGTAATAATGCACACACAAACTCATATCAGAACACTAAATTTTCATTACTTACAAATGCAAAACTACTCCAGTTACGTTCATACCTAGGTGATGAACATCAAAGACCAATTATTATTGTAGCAAATGTTAGGAGCTCTAGAGTATATCTACCAAACGAATTCCACCAATAAAGTGAAAAAAATATAGCATAAAAATATCATTAATATTTATTTTACTTCCCATAACATTAATTAATTTAAAATACTTACGTGGGGACATGATCGTTCATTGCTTAATTGCTATACTTTTTCCAAAGCCTACTATTGTTTCATCATATTCACTCACTTGTTGAATAATCTTCATTTACAAATGGTCATCACCTATCTTAGATGCCCAACGTTGTGGATTTTTTCCTCTTGTTTTTTGTGAAAATACTGATGTATTTGTTTAGATATCTCTGCTATTGTATTTGGTCACTTTGTGATATCCCCAAATCCACAAGCTAGATGACGTTTGAAGTGTCTCATGCCACCATGAATTTGTTTGTGGCATAATGTACTCCACAAGATATTTGTTGTTCAAATTTGGTCTAAACCTATATTTCCATCCGAGATCATTAGAGTCGGC